GAAGCCGCACATGCCATGATGGACCTTGAAGATTTCGCGAAAGTGAAGCTTATTGAGCGGAATCGATGGGTGCTATCAAGACAACTGGATGGCGACGCGGGCGGTATGGTCGTCGAACAGGTCCGCGCTTTGGGCTTGGATGTCATGCTAAGCAAGAGAGTGGGCAAGATCTTGACAACCGAGGACAATTTTGTCAAGGGTGTGGTGTTTGAGGATGGTGATGAGATGGAGTGCTCGTGCATTTGCTTCGCAGTGAGTAAAATTGGACCGCGAAACAACGACAAAGACTGACTTTAGTAGATCGGTATCAAATCAAGAGACGAGCTCGCCCGGAAAGCAGGTATCAAATGTGCCGATCGAGGAGGTGGTATCGTGGTCGGCCCTGACCTAGCGACTTCACAACCGGACATCTACGCCGTAGGCGAATGCGCCAGCTGGGAGAACCAAACGTTTGGTCTCATCGCTCCTGGAGTCGAGATGGCGGATGTCCTCGCGTTCAATCTCACTCAAGCGAAGGCACATGCACCACGCAAGTTCAAAGCACCTGATCTAAGTACCAAGCTCAAGCTGCTGGGTGTCGAAGTCGCGAGTTTCGGTGACTTCTTCGCGGACCGTGACGGCCCGAAGAACATGCCTGGACGGCCACGAGCTGAGAAGAAAGATACCAATGGAGCGACACCGAGAGATCGAGTTAAGAACTTGACGGATGGGCCAGCGCCACCACCGGTCAAGGCTCTGACATACAAGGATCCATTTCAGCAAGTGTACAAGAAGTATCTGTTTACAATGGACGGAAAGTACCTGTTGGGTGGCATGATGATTGGCGACACGAAAGACTACATCAAGCTGGTGCCCATGGTAAAGAATCAGAAGCAGCTGGAGATGGCGCCAAGTGAGCTCATCGTTGGAGCGCAGAAGGGCGACGACGATGGTTCAGATCTGTAGGTTGCACTGCGCTCGTCCATACAAGAATGTTGTACTAACATCACATAGGTCCGGCGATACTCAGATCTGCTCATGTCACAATGTTACGAAGGACGATGTGGTCAATGCCACCAAGGACGGAACATGCAAGAGCATCGGCGACGTCAAGTCTTGCACCAAAGCCGGCACCGGATGCGGAGGCTGCATGCCGCTCGTACAGACCATCTTCAACAAGACCATGGCTTCCATGGGCAACGAAGTCAAGAACCACCTCTGCCCGCATTTCGAGTACTCGCGCGCCGACCTCTTCAACATCATCTACGTCAAGGGCCTGAAGGACTTTGCTGCTGTCATGAAGGAAGCTGGAAAAGATCCAAACTCCTTGGGTTGCGAAGCCTGCAAGCCGACCATTGGAAACATCGTCGCTTCATTATACAACAAGCATCTACTTGAAGTCAACAACAGGGGTCTACAAGATACCAACGACAGATTCCTGGCCAACATCCAACGTAACGGCACCTTTTCGGTTGTTCCGCGAGTCTCAGGTGGCGAGATTACCCCGGAGAAGCTGATCGTCATCGGTACCGTCGCGAAGAAGTACAACCTCTACACCAAGATCACCGGTGGTCAGCGTATCGACATGTTCGGCGCACGGAAACAAGACCTCCCTGACATCTGGCAAGAGCTTATCGATGGCGGTATGGAGTCTGGCCACGCATACGCCAAGTCACTACGAACAGTCAAGTCATGTGTCGGAACTACATGGTGCCGATTCGGCATCGGCGACAGTGTGGGCATGGCGGTGCGTCTAGAAGAGCGCTACAAGTCTATCCGTGGACCGCACAAGATCAAGGGTGGAGTATCCGGCTGCGTACGCGAGTGTGCCGAAGCACAAAACAAGGACTTTGGTCTCATTGCGACTGAGAAGGGCTTCAACATCTTCGTGGGCGGCAACGGTGGCGCGAAGCCACGACACTCGGAGCTACTCGCCAAGGACGTACCACCAGACGACGTAGTCCCCATCCTCGATCGCTACCTCTCTTTCTACATCCGCACAGCCGACAAGCTCCAACGAACAGCGCGCTGGATGGAGAACCTCCCCGGCGGCATCAAGTACCTCCAAGAAGTCATCCTCGAAGACAAACTAGGCATCTGCGCAGATCTCGAGAAGCAGATGGAAGACCTCGTCGGCACCTTCTTCTGTGAATGGACCGAAGTACTCAAAGACCCCAAGAAGCGATCCTGGTTCTCCCAATTCGCAAACACATCCGAAACCATCGTCGACACCATCGAACCGACCCAAGAGCGCGGCCAAGAACGGCCCTCCTACTGGCCCAAAGACTCCATCACCGAAGACTTCCGCGGCACAAAATGGACAGAACTATCCTGGCAGCCCCTCGTCAAAGCCGAAGAGTTCAAAGACGCAGACACAGGCGACAGCAAGGCCATCAAGCGCGGCGACACGCAACTCGCCGTCTTCAAAGTCCGCGGTAAATACTACTGCACCCAGCAAATGTGCCCGCACAAGCGCGCCTTCGTCCTCTCCGACGGCCTCATCGGCGACGACCTCGCCAACAACAAACTCTGGGTCAGCTGCCCGTACCACAAGCGCAACTACGAACTCTCCGGCGACAACGCGGGGAAATGCGCAAACGACGAGAGCGTCAACATTGCTGTTTTCCCGATTGAGGAACGCGGTGATGGCTGGTTGTATGTCAAGTTGCCCAGTGTGGAGGAACTGGATAGTGTGCTTGGTACGAGTAAGTTTAAGATTAAGAAGAGTGAGACGGAAGATCCGTTTGTGGCGCTCGATAAGAAGTTGCAGAGGATGCAGTTGAAGGGGAGGAAGGGCATGCAGGTTTCGCATCTTGAAGGTGGGCTGGGGGAGAAGGCGAAGGCCGCGCAGATACTTGCTGGTGGCGAGAGGGGGGCTGGGGGCTTGGACTGGTAGTGCACGCGTGCGGTTTGAGCATATCCAGGACGGCGTCGTGGTGTTTGTTTGTATATATGATTCCCATCATTGGATTTGTACAAGAATAGGTACATCACTCTTGCGTTCAATCATTTCCACCCTCACTGCTGGCCATGAGATTGACTCGTGCAGTCGTGTGATCGCCTCAGCCTCTGCGTGCTGGCTCCCAATTCTTTGGTATAATAGCGCTATGGGTTAGGGGTCTCTTGACCCGCCGATGGGTGTTCGATCATGCATGATCATTTAAGTTCGATGCTTCAGTCCTGTTCATAGTGTTAGGATGTACGTGGCACCTATCGGTGACTTTCAGTATCGACGTAGCTGCTGGTCTTGGGCTAGTTTTCCAACTGAATGGATGTCGAAATGATGGTGTCTTCACTGGAGTAGTTGCAAGCGTTGTTGCCGATCGGATGGGAAGTGTTACACCCGCAGTCGTGTGGTACAAGTATACATATAGTGGTTGACATGTGATTGTGGTACATGCTCACAGTCAGTTCCTGGAAACTCACTGTTGTTCGTTCCAAGTTAGTTGCATGCTTGTTGCTTCATTCCGCCCGGATTTGCAATCCTAAGTGTATTGAGCGTTTAACGAAGTGTTGGAATTTCCCCGTACGGAGTCGCCGTACTTGGGCACACGTGGAGATGACGAACCTGAAACAACGGTGAGGCTGTTGTGATCAAACTAGGCAAGTAGTGATAGCAAGCTGTCTGTGTAGTATGTGATGCTTATCGGCTGACTGGCAAGATTAGGAATGACCATAGGTTCCCCCTTCGAGTATTAGGCATATGTACCTTGCCTAATCTGTGCAGCAGAGCCGTGAAGTCCAGAACATTAGTTGCAGATGTGGTGTTAACGGTCAAGCTGGCACGGCGGGATCCGCTGCACAAACGACGGATCTGATACTTGACTAGAGAAAACGTGGTTGGGAGGAGCTAAAGTCTGACAGGGAGTCTTTGTGAGATCAGTTGATCGCATTCCCAGTAAGTTCTGTGTCTCACAAAGAGTAGCGCATGACTCCCTCAGTGCGGAGTGCCCCGATAATCGCCAGTACCTTTTTACTTTTCCCCCATACCACCCAGGCACCCGGTAGTAGTGGCAGCCCCGTATTGATCGTATGGGTACAGCAACCGTTGACCAGTCATGTTTTGGCCTCACGTTTGACATGGGCAATCCGTAAGACTGTCTGCCCACCATCGTATCATACTTCTCTCCGATGTAGGCGTCCCTTCACATGCAGCTCAGCCCATGCTGACCGCCATGGCTCTCAGCCTTGGATACCGCCTTGACACCGCCTTGACCCAACGCCAGCGTGGCATTCAGGTAATTCGTTTGGGCGTAGAGTAGTGGCTGAGGCTGTTGAGAGAGCTCCCACGCGCCGTGGTCTACGTGTCTCTCAGTTTTCGCATGTGAACTAAGCTTTTGTTGAGATCCTGCACTCATCCTAGCCGATCAGATCAAATCGATCAACATGAACGGCGTCCCTTTCAGTAGACCTAGCTTCGATGGGACGATCGAAGAAAAAGAGGCCGATGGAGCCGACAGATTGACTGTCGGTCCATTGCAGTGACATACGGTGTCGTATCGGGGCGTAGCACGAAGCACACCGCTGGGTGGATGATAGAAGCAGGGCGCACCGCGCACTCGATTGGATTTCCATGAACTGGAACAAACCTCCGGTACCAAACGACTGACGTGTCTCTGTTGCCGTCACACTGGACTGAGAGGCAAGGGGCTGGTGCTGCATTAGTGGTTGCTTTCGTTGTCATCGCAAGCAAACATCTCTGTGGCACATCAATCTTGGCGCGAGGGGTGAACAAGGTTCGTGGGCTCGGTCACCCGGCATGCGAGGCAATGTCGCTCTCACCGGTACTTGATGCGTATATAGAGACTGCCCTCTGTGTCAGGTACTGTAATTAGCGCAGTCCACTTCTTTCCCAGCGAACAGCCAAACCTCTTTTGTCAATTCCCCAGCAACATCTATCCAAAACTCATCGGCGTTTTTGAGATACTAGCATTCGAAATATGAGGATAAAATTCAGCGGGCTCCGTCCTATCACTGTAGATCGTCAAACGTTCTCTGCTTGGTTTCCTCAGCTGTCGGGCATGCACGGTATCGATGGAGACGAGCTTGTGGAAGATCTCGACACCCGACTTCAACATCGTTATGGAATACCGAGTCGTATGATCGAGTATACTCTCTCGGAACTGTTCAAGAAACTTGGCCATTACTCATGCTTTGACTCGGGGCAAAAGCAAAAGCGCCTTATCCAGGAGCTGTGGACTCAGCTGGTCAAGGATGTCAAGAACGTTTATCATAGCAGCAAAGGTCTCCGAAGTTCGCGGCAGATGTTCATCACACTTTCGTATCTAGCAGCGGATCATGCGTCTATTTTGCTGGCTGAAGCGCTCGCTCAATTCTGGGTGCATTTCGAATCTCTGATATCGCAAGAGTCGCCAACATATCTTGGGGACTGGGCGAGGGCTTTAGCGAAGGTACAAGAGGCACTGGAAGGACCTACGACGAGGAATCTCGAGCCCTTCGCCATTATGCCATACACTGGCTATCACCGTGGTCGCACTCCCCGAGCCTTGCCCTGGCCAGGTCACAGGGCACGGTCATTGCCTGTCATGCGACGTCGCCACAGCCCGGATATGAGCCTCGCCATCCCAACGTACCCGAGCTCTGGTTGGGCTTCGCCGATGATATCACCGGTCGGATATCCGAGAGGCGATTACTTCGACGAGCTTCAGAACCTCCAGTGGCAACAGAGCGAGATGGACATGAAATTGGACAGTGTTGACGGGAAACTGGATGTTCTGCTTGGTGGGTACGGTAGGTACGGTTATTATTGAGCAAGAGCAACGCTTCTTTGGTTTCGACCAGAGATTGCATTGATCTACTGCTCTGTGATGGCTTGCATGAGGGACCATTGGGTTAACGAAGAGGCGAACGTTCGACTACCGACATTGACGATCCGATCTGTACCATACGCGAGAGTTGGGCTCATCCAAGAAGTGTAGCGAAACTGAGATGGAATATGGAAATAGTTTTTGGTGGGCAGGCTCTACACCTGTCGTGTTTTGAGATATGAATGCGTCGTGGGGTGCTCTAGCGAGGCGTTGCATTTACGGCCTGTTTCCCAAATTACGTAGCTTTCAGATAGTAAGATGAGAGCCTTGTCTGGCATCTCGAGCATATCCTGCCATTCTCACAGCGGTCTGTAAGCCATATTCCGAAGGGAAAAATGGGATCGCGTATTCCAGAATCTTAACAAATGATGTACCGTGCGTTTGATGTTGCTTCCCATTTTTACAGATGGGACCTGCTTTTCGTCAATGCGTGCACAAAAACGCGTACGTCGATCCGTACTGTCCTGAGGCGATGGTACTGAGCTAAGCCAAACCATAGCGTGAGTAGTAATTGGCTAGAATCGTATGAGGCGGCCACGCGCGTTGTCGAAGCAAACTTGTGCGACTGTTCAACGTATTCGTCTGTTTGTCGATCGATCGGGAGGGCTGACGGTAGACCTAGTGGTCAACACCGTTGAGCATATAATGATGACAGCGGCCTGTCGAGCGAAATCTTTTCGGCCTTCTGTACCACCACCCTTTCCTCCCAACACAGCATCGATATCGTTCGCGCAAGATTGCGTTCTTTCCGAAAAACAATTGTTGGTCCATGTGGGATATTGTGACGATAAGACTCGCTGCCGATGTAGTTCTCCACCCCAGTCTGAGCGGATTGCAAAAGTGGCTTCCAGATGTCGCTCGCAACCTGGGATTTGCCAGAACATTCGACAGCCGGCGCCTGATATCACAGATGGCGGAGGCTTTCTCCAAGAAACTGCAGTATCCCGTCACATCCGACACTATCGTCACAGCTCTTGGGGAGTTCATCGGATACCTTGCGCCAAAGTCCAATTTCGCCGCTTCGACCGGAACACGCCTAGATGAGCATATGAAGGACTGTCTCAGAAAAGACTTGGGCGTCATGGAGACCTCGGACCTTCGTTGCAGCAGGCACCGGTTTCTGATATTTTGCTCAGTCGCTCGGGCCACTCGATCGCAGGCATTGGCCGCGTCCATGATGGGTTTCCTGCAAGGTCACCTACACGAAGTCGTGTACGATGAGCAACCTGGGATGCGGAGGGAGTGGTGCATGGGCCTCATTGCATTGGAAGGCTTGGTATCCGAGCGAGTCCTGGAGCAGCTGTTACGCTGTTTCTCGGGTGCTGTCGGCCGATCATACGAGATGAGGCGGCAGCCAGCATACTACGACCCATGCGCTGCGGTGATGATGAAACGGCAGCACTATCCGTTCTTCGGTCATCAATGTGGGATAATGCCACCGAGGCTCGAAGACCCAAGAGACAGATGGCTATCTGTTGGCCGTCCTCATCGGCATCGATATCGTCAACACCATCCTCGAAATGCATATCCATGGATCCAGCGGAATGGACGTTTTGATGATGTCGGAAGGCTGCAGTATCAGCAGGAAAGGATATACTCGAAGCTCAATCATATTGGCCGGAAGCTCGAGTAACCATAGTTGGCAGGGGAAATGGACTTTGACGAGCGATTCAACGATATGGCCGAACTGTGCACACATGCTTGATTGTTTTCTTGCCGAATCGTATCAGATTTACTAATCCGTACCTGTAACGATTTAGTTGGCCTCGAAGTAGCATGAGGTCCATTACAAACTTACTGCTATATCGTCATGTTGCGCGAAACATCACACCCATTCTCCTCTGAATATACACTATGCTCCATGCGCCTCGCTAATTCAAATGATGTCCCCTGAATGTCTAGGAAACCGTCCTGTCCACAATCCAACTGGTGTAGCTATGCCATCACCTCAAGTAGTGAATAACCAGCCAGCAGAACAGAAAGAAGACGACGACTCCACCCCAAAATATCCACTTGTCTTGTTTCGCTCTCCTTTCAACCATGCGTATCGTGTCGCCACTAATACCCAGGGTATTCGCAACCGTGTATAGCCGTCTCTGTGTTCCCTTGAGCATCTCTCTCTGCTGTCCCAGATCGCCAAGGACCGTCCGTCCTCTGTCTAAGAACTCATCCAACTGCTCTGACGTCTTGTTGAAAAAGGTGTTTTCCCTCAGCACATGGCCCTCGCGGTCGTAGTCGCCACCCGCTGGTGCGCCAGCCGAATAGGGGTTCGGTCGGTAGGGAGCGTTGGGGTTGTAGGGTTGGGAAGGTGCGAACGCCGAATGTTGGGCAGAGAGATTAGGCTGGGCATAGGGGTTTTCGGGGGTTGCTGTGTTGTGTGGACGACGGCCTAGCAGTTCTGTTCGTGCCTCTGTGGTTTGCTGCTCCTAGTCAGCAACGGCGCTCGCAATGACAAGGCGAGAGTCTTAGGCGTCGGTTCGAAACGTACAATTTCCTCGTTTACACCTTTTATGCGCTTGAAGTTTGTCCGGTACTCTTCGAGTTCAGCCCGGAAGTTCTTTAACCTCTCATGTGCCTTTTCTGCTTTGGTTTGCACAGGCTCTTGCTTTGCAAGCTTGCCATAGTCGTCGATGGTGCGCGCAAATGTGGCTAGGGACGCGTTTAGTTGGGCTTGGAGATGTGGTGATGGCGAGGCTGAGTCGGCAAATTGATCCAAGTCTTTTCGTATCGATGTCGATTGCCGTAAGGCGTTGTTGAAGAGCGCGTTCTGTTTGCGACGTAAGTTTGTGTTGAGCAATGAAAGTAGATGAGGCGTACCATTGCGGATTGTCAAGGGTTATGTCTATTTGGAGTGATTGCAACACCTCAATATAGATTTGAGATGTAGCGCGAGGTTTGTTACGGTGAAGGTTATACTGTAGCCTTGTAGGCAGACTTTCGCGACTTGACACATTGCATCATCGCGAAGTCCGACTGCTGGACCCTGAGTTGCCAAGCTTTTAGCGCATCAGCGCTAGCAGCATCGTAGAATTCCCTCCAGTTCACTCTCCATGGTCCGACATCTGGGTACTCTACCACGATGCATATAAACTTGCAGCTTGCCCTTACAGCTTCGTGCAAAGCTGCCGATACTCATGTCCGATGCAGACAGCAGATCCTGGCCGAAGTCTGAACCGCCTGGACTACGGTACCCCCGCCCTGGATTCCTGGACGATATCGCGACTACTTCTATAAGTGGCCAACCACAGGGCATGAAGATCCGACGTCCTTGGACTTCTGTTCTGATCAGTAATTGCGGTCTGCGATCCTCATGTTACCCAGCTATGCAGGCTGCGGTGACAGTATGCCCGCACAAGCCACAGTCGTCAGTTCCGCCTAGTGGTTATTCTCCGTTCTACCCTTAGTCATTGCACTGCGCCGTCCTTCTTATCGGCGTTCATCTGGCCTTGTCAAGCCTTCAATCATCCGTGGTTGACGTCGTTCTTCCTTCTCCACCTGCCTAATTCGGTAATCTCCTACCCTGTCGGCAAGTAGCAGGGCTGGGTATTTACGCTTGCCGAGCCGCGGAACAGGTGCATCTCGAGAAGAGATCGCAGAAAATGATGATGGGCACCCACTGCAGACCCAGTGTGCTAACTGGCATGGGAAGTTCGTTGTAGACCACTTCCGATATGCGGATCCATGCCATAATGTGCCGTCTCGCACATTGGGCGACGGCCCATCCCCATTTTCGATATAAGAAGCCGATTTGCGAGCTTTGTGTCGGATAGCCATCTCTTCATCGCAGTCATTATGTTTCTCCGATCAGCACTGTTCGGAAGTGCGCTGCTCTCGAGCGCCTACGCGCACGAGGTTCTTTTCGGTCGCGACCTCCCGCTACCAGTGGCTGCCAACGCGGAGTCATATACCGACTGTGCCAACGCAGCATGGCCTCCGTCCAATGTCGGCGTGGAGCTGATTCCGCAAGCACCAGACGATGAGATGCGAGCTATTGTCAATGAGATCAGTTCAGCAAACATCGAGGCTACGATCACCAAACTTGTATCGTTTGGAACACGCCATACCCTCGCCACATACAACAGCTCGACGCGCGGAGTAGATGCAGCGAGGGATTGGGTTGCCTCCGAGATGCGAAAATATGCTGCGGATAGCAACGGCACGATGACGGTCGAGGTGCAAAGCTATTTGCAAGGAATAGCTAGCAGAATCCCCTTTCCCGTGTACATATCGAATGTGCTTGCGACTGCCAAGGGAAGCGAGACTCCCGACAGGGTATATGTCATGACCGGACATATTGACAGTCGGGTCACTGACGTGCTCAACTACGATGCTGACTCTCCGGGTGCCAACGACGACGCGAGTGGAGTTGCTAGTATGTGTTCGTTGAAAAGATTATTACAGGATCAAAGCTGACTTATACAAGTTGCGATGGAGATTGCGCGTGTTCTTGCCAAGCATCAGCCCAAGTCAACAATAATCCTTGGTGCTGTATCTGGCGAAGAGCAGGGTCTATATGGCTCCACCTATTTGGCACAAACACTCAAGAACTCTAGCACGAATGTCGAAGGCATGCTGAACTGCGACATTGTCGGTTCCTCAACTGGAGATCGCGGTCAGAAAGACCCCTACACCATTCGCGCTTTCGCTCAAGGTGTTCCGCCTCTTTCAGCCGAAAACAACGTCACAGCAGCGCGACGACTCCAAATCGGCGGTGAAAACGATAGCCCTGCACGAGAGCTTGCGCGCTTTTCAGCTGAAGTCGCTGCCAACAATGCCACCGGCATGAACGTAGCCATCATCTACCGCCTGGACCGCTTTTTGCGTGGAGGTGACCACACTGGATTCCTTCAAGCGGGTTACCCTGCCATCCGCTACACGGAGCCTAATGAGAACTTCAATCATCAGCATCAAGACTTGCGCACC